ACATACCCAGGGGGGGAGGAGGGGGGAAACAGGGCCACAGGGGACTGTAAATGACCTAGGCCAGAGTTGGCTTCCTATGCCCTAAAATTACTCGAGGTGGGAGAGACGGTTCTAAGTCTCGAAAGGCAACCTTCTCCTTGGGTTACACTCCCATCATCCTCAACGGGGCTGGCTGGGGATGATGCGGCATCGTAGTCCAGCAAAACAAAAGACGTGGAACTGATGGGAGAAAGGCTTTCCACTCCTCCGTTCAGTTTCCCGGAGGGCAAAAAAAAAAGAGTCCGTTTTCAAGGGATCACAACAAGGAGGGTTGTGTTATTTCTGTAATTAAAAGCAGCGCGCCACACCCCAGCCTTAAAAATCAGGTGCCGCGAAGGTGAGTTTTCTCCTGTCTCTTCCCCCAAGCTATGCAATTTTGCATAACTGATAACCTGTTGCTTTACCCACCCGCCCCTTTCTCTTTCCAAGAGTATAAAAGGCCCTCCGCCAATTGCTGTTTACACCGAGATTCGATTCCTTGGCACTCCGTTGCTAATAACTGTAATTATCGAGGCTGGGAGACAGCAAGGAGCATGCCAGCAAGTTGAAGCTTGCTCGGGGAAGATTGTGCAGGGTTGGTCCTTAAATCTGCTTTTTCTTTCTTTCTTTCTTTCTCTTCCTGGTCGAGAATCGCTGCTTCAACAACTTTGCAGCCTAATCTAACCTGTTTAAAAAAATAAATATTTTTTTTTAATTGAATTGACCTCAATGAACTACTTAGATGAAACGCGATTTGAATTCCTTTGCAGGTTGGTGCAAAACATCTGAGGTATTTTCTGATATATCTCAGATACCTAACCATCCCAAATAGCCCTTCTTTTATTTGATTTTTCTGCCTCTCTCAAGGTTCTAGCCCTCATGATTTGTTTTACGGGGGGGGGGGGGGGCCTCGTGTGAATGACCAGAATTGAATCCCAAACATGCTTTTTTTTTTTCGAGGGGTGACTGGACTTCCTTGTTTGTTTTTTTTTCTTTTGAAGACGTTTCGCTTCTCAACCAAGAAGCGTCTTCAGCTCTGACTGGATGGTGGAGGATGGAAGGATTGATTTCTCCTTTCAGACAAGTTGGTCATTTGCATCCTTTTTAGAGGGTCGTCGAGGACACTTGGAGGTTTATCTGAGTCCTCAGGGTCACACCTGAGGGGTGCAAATGGGTGTGGGGCCTTCTTGGAACTGTTGAAAAGACTGTTGTACACTGGAGATAGATGAGGTCGTATATCCCTCCCATTCTATTGAGAGAGGGGCCAAGTAGCCTCAACGATTCTCTAAAAAGGATGCAAATAACCAGCCGTCTGCAAAGGAGTATCAATCCTTCCATCCTCCAACATCCAGTCAGAGCTGAAGAAGCTTCTTGGTTGAGAAGCAAAACGTCTTCAAAGAAAAACCAGAAAGTTCATTTGCCTCTTTTAAAAAAAGCACCTTTTGGACAACCACAACTTGGAGGACTGAGAATCTCTACAGACCACAATTGAGCCTCTTGACGTCCGTTGATAAGCAAGACACTTGTTAAAAAGTAAAATAGTGGCTTACGACCACAATTGAGGTCCAAATTTATTGCTAAGCGAGACTTTTTTTTTTTTTTAAGTGAGTTTTACCCCATTTGGTGACCTTTCTTCCCAAAATTATTGAGCGCATCGCCGCATGTTAAGGAGTTCCTAAGTTAGGAACGTGGTTGTTTAGTGAATCTGGTTTCCTCATCGTGTGATCCCAGGATCCCATCCAAGCTTCCTCACCCTGCAACCATCATAAGTACTAGCCAGTTGCCAAGCATCTAAATCTTGGGAAATGGGACCGCTAGGGTGCTACCTTGGTTCGAAATGGGAGCATTTTCCAATGCTGTTGTAACTTCCGACCGTCATTAAGCGAATGGTTGTAAGTCGGGACCTTCCTCTCTTCGTTGGTAAAAGCAGTGGCAGTTTTCCTACCTGGAAAAGTTGGATCTCTTATCGGACGGCAACCGAACCCAGCTATGAATTTTAAATAGCTGGAACCAAATTTATTTTGCGGGGTGTGATTTATGGTTGTGATGCAGCCTCACCAGTGATAAACTGACGCAGCTGCCAAAGGTGACAGTGATTTTAGTCAACCCTAATAAGAATTATAGAGGGACATGGTGGCTCAGTGGCTAAGATGCTGAGCTTGTCAATGAGAAAGGTCGGCGGTTCGAATCCCTAGCGCCGCGTAATGGAGTGAGCTCCCGTTCACTTGTTCCAGCTTCTGCCAATCTAGCAGTTGGAAAACACATGAAAATGCAAGTAGAAAAATAGGGACCCCTTTGGTGGGAAGGTGACCACATTCTGTGCGCCTTTGGTGTTTAGTCCTGCCGGCCACATGACCACGGAGACGTCTTCGGACAGCGCTGGCTCTTCGGCTTCGTAACGGAGACGAGCACCGCCCCCTAGAGCCAGGAATGACTAATATGTGCGAGGCGAACCTTTTTAACTTTTTAATAAGCGACTGGGATCGTGCAAGCTTGCAGGAGCCGAGTTAGAATGCCTCTGCGGCCCGCCAAAGCCACACCCACCGAACCAGTGGTAAAAAAAAATATTTGAATCCCACCGCTGGGTTGTGCGTATAGGGGAGTGGGAGCATTTGAGTCACGATATGGTTAAACTGCCTGGGGACGTCCTATCTTTGTAGGGTAGACTGCCGATAACACGGCCTGAATGTCCAGACAGCACTAATCCAGAACCAAACAAACCCACGTTATGGCTTATTGCAATGGAGTAAACTGCGTCCTTGGCCAAACAAGCTGGATATGTCTGCCGCTCGCGATGCAATCAGAAAGGAGCTTTTGAAATGATCCTGGACTTCTGAGCACAATTGGGACGGGAATTTCCGTCGCTAACCGAGTTGTGCAGTTTATTGGACAAACCGTGTTTAAACCACGTACAGGTTAGTCCTTGACTTACGACCTCAATAGAGCCCAACGTGGATGCTGCTAAGCGAGACATTTGCTTGGCGAGATTTGCCCTGTTTTACGACCTTCCTTGCCGCGGCTGTTAAGTGAATCGTTGCCATTATTAAGTGAATCTCCAGTGACTTGGCTTGTTAGGTTGCAAAAGGGAGATCACGTGAAACCCCCCCCCGCCCCGCCCAGGATACTGCAACCGTCATAAATACGAGTCAGTTGCCAAACGCCCGAATTTCCTTCACGTGATCACGGGGAGACCATAAGTTGTTAAGTGTGAAAAACAGTCATGCAGGGTTTTTTTTCTCTCAGTGATGATGTAGCTTTGAACAGTCACTAAACAAACCATTGTTGTCAAGGACTACCTGTATCGTGAACCAGCCGGTGTGCGATAGAATAGAGAATAGAATAGAATGTAATAGAATATAGAATAGAATAGAAAATAGAATAGAATAGAGAATAGAATATAGAATATAATGTAATAGAATATAGGATATAGAATAGAATAGAAAATAGAATAGAGAATAGAATAGAATAGAATGTAATAGAATATAGGATATAGAATAGAATCTCTACAGACTTTTATTCATGATAGAGCCGGAAGACAAATCCCTATTGTGCTTTTAAAATGCAGCATCTGTGTTGGCAAATTCTCTTGCCATAAGGACTAGCACCTTAATATTCTTAAAAGAGAAACAAGAAGCAGAGATCCTAAGACGAATTCCCATATTTTCTGGGACTTTCTGCTCCCAATGTAGATCCTTAAGAGGATTATACAAGCAGCAGCAAAGGAGATCTTGGCCCTGGGTGAAAAAAAGGAAGCAGCAAACTACACACACGCACACACAAAAAGAAATATCTTTTTATTTGCAAAGGATAAAGATAAAAAAGGCACCTGGGAAACTCAAAACAGCCCCGTTTCCCAGCTGCTGACAAGGAGAAAAATATTTGCTTAGAAATAAGGGAGGAGGCCAGCTTGCAGGGAGGTGACCCAGCAAAAGAGATAATAACCATTAAAAGAAAAAATTATATTTGCAGAATTGTCAATACAGTTGCAAGGCCATCCTTTCTTTGCAGAAGACGACACAAGCTGGGTATTTGGGAGGGCAGGACCCTTCTCAAACTAACCATGCTCCTTCAACTTACGACATCTGAGCCTCAAATTTGACGCTAAGTGAAACATTTGTGAAGTGAGTTTCGCCTTAAATGTGAGTCGGTCGCCAAGCGCCTGAATTTTGATTGTGTGAGCCTGGGGGTGCTACAGTGGTTGTGTGAAAGAGAGTCACCAGTCAGTCTTTTCAGTGCCTTTGTCACTTTGAACCGTCACTAAATGAATCGATGTAAGTTGATGGGTTACCCCTACTGATAATGCTACCTAGTTTGGGTCATGCCTGCAAGAAAACCACCAAGCTCAGAAAGCATCAAGGACTCCGCATTCCTCCTCCTTTCCACAATCCCCATCCCCTTCTAGCATTGAAGATGTTCCCTAGCTGGGTCGTGAAACGTCTGCAAGAAAAGAAACAAGCTCAGAGAGCACCAAGGACCCCACAATTCTTCTCCTCCTTCCCCCTTCTAGCACTGATAACGTTCCCTAGCTGGGTCGTGAAACGTCTGCAAGAAAAACCACCAAGCTCAGAGAGCATCAGATCCTGAGCTACAACTATTCCCCTTCCTTAATATCAGATTTGGCTACTGCATGAACCTAAATCAACCTTTTAAAGCGAACCGTGAGGCTTTTAAGAAGACAAGCCAACATTTGAGTAGTTTTACTTTGATTGCAAGGTAGGTAGATCCAAAATGCCACAGCAATAAAACGAGAGAATATCAGATTTACGCAGAGCCGGATTTCCTTGCTTCGGGCTTTGCCCGTTTCATGGGGGGGGAAAATATTTTTATTTCCATAAATGACATTTTAAGCAATGAGCGATCCCAGGCTGTGATTTGAAATGATGCCTGTGTTCTTCCCATCTGGAGACAGGAAGGCAAAACAAGCGATTCACTTTCAGCATTCAGCTTCTCCCGAATTCAAAAGAACTCACATCCAGTCTGGGTGAATTTCTCACAAGATTTTATGAACAAACAGGAGGAAGGAAACGTGTTGGAAATGGATACTGAGGACATTTGGTTGATAAGTGTTATTCCTAGGTGGGCTGGCTATTAGCATTTTTTTCCAAGGCACTACCTAACTTCAGAATCGATCGATTGCGTGTCGTCCACAAGAATAAAACCAGAAATGTACGATTTGCAACCTTGGAGATTTTCACGGACGGCTGGTTTTTGCTACCCAAACATTCCCATGTACAACTGTTTTTCTTGCTGAAGATAAATACTGAGCTGTGATTTGGTCAGCTGCAGATAACGTTTGACGTTCGCATCTGGGGAGAGAGAGAGAAGGGAAAGAAAAAAGTTTTTTAAAAGTTAAAACGTCCAGGATTTGCTTGCCTACGTAGTGCTAAGCCAAACAGGTATCGGCTTTGGGGGGTCTTTGGTGCGCTCCAAGTTTGGTGGTTTTCTTGCAGACGTTTCATGAACCAACTAGGGAACATCATCAGTGCTAGGAGGAAGTAGGGTTTGCAGAGAGGAGAACCTGTTACAGATAGTGATGAACAGAGCTAGAAGGGACCTTGAAGGGCATCTAGTCCAACACCCAACCACCCCAGCCCAGCTGTGGAGTTCTTGGTGTTCTCTGAGGTGGGTGGTTTTCTTGCAGACATTTCATGATCCAGCTAGGGAATGTCATCAGTGCTAAAACGGAGGAGGAGGAGAATTGTGGGGTCCCTGTTGATCTATGAGCTGGGTGGTTTTCTCGCAGACGTTTCATGACCCAACTAGGGAACAGCAGTGATAGAAGGGAGTGGGTTTTGCTCTCTGTTTATATACAAGTACTATAGCTGGATTGCAGACAGCAAACCCCACTCCCTTCTAGCACTGATGTTACTTAAGTTGGGTCATGAAATGCCCGCAAGGAAACAAAACTCACTTAACAGAACGTCTCACTTAGCAACATCACGTCTGGGCTTATTTGCGACTCTAAGTCGAAGATCGCCTCTATTCCTCACCTTTGGGCTGCCGGCTGGTTGCCGACAACAGGTAATGTTGTGCTTTGTCGTAATTCCCCAGGTGGTAGAACGCCACACCGGCTCGGTACAGTGCCTTGACGTTGTCAGCTTGCCTCCTTCAGATGCCGCCTGTGAATTACGAGCGGGTTAAAGACTACAGTCTCAAAGTCCTAGAGAGGCAAGCTGGAGAGACAGACAGGTTAAAAAAGACAGAGACATGTGCTTTCCGGGACACGACAACAACAAAAGGTTAAAAAAAAGAAAAGAAACCCACTTATAAAAATGGCAAATGAGTAACACCTTCGCTGGAGTGAAAATCCGCTTGGAAGCTGGAAGATCCGGACCGTGTCCATTTTTCAGTTAAACACAGGAAGTCCTCGACTCGCGACAGTTGCTTAGCAACCATCCGACGTTAGGACAACTTGGTTCCAAAGCTATCAGGATCGAGGGTGACAGTGAATTATGTGTCTCAGAATCGGCTTGCTGTCAGGATTCCGGTTCAGCTGTTCTAATTAAATCATGATCCTCGAGCCAAGCTTCGAAAACTTTGAAGGATTTATTAGGAGCAAACATGTCGGTAAGAACTGTACGAAGCCGACTCTGGGACACGTAATTCACTGTCACCCTTAATCCTGGTTTTCCACCCCTGCTACCCCTTTTGGGTGCATCCTAATTCATATTCTCCCACGAGAAACATGTTCCTAGCTGAGAGTCATCAATCGCATTCTCCAATGAAGAGATTTGCAGGCAGAAACTCTGGTACGGCTTTGTTACAATCTTTGCAAGAAAAGGATGGAATGCACTTTTGGTTCCAAACTGCCGCCCTGGTCTTTCAAATTTCCTCCTCCACCCCACTTCTGTTCGTGACAACTCTTAAAGCAGGCATAGAAATAAATGTTTTATGGGTTGACAAGGTTGTTAACATGAGGCCAAACTCATGAGGCCAATATCGCGACAGGAATTTGAGGCCCCCCACTGGTGGTCATAAGTCAAGGCATTGCTCTATCTCTGGCTGCTAAGTTTACCGACAAGAGGGGTGGGGGAAAAATATCAGCAAGCTGGCTTACCGGCAAGATTATTGTAGCAATCGCACCGGATGGTGTAGAGTTCTTTCTCCTGGTCTGCTGTCATGGCCGGCTTGTCAGCCATGAACTCCTGCAGGGGGAAAGGCATGTTGGGGTCGAGGCCCTTAATTTGCAGCAAAGCCCAATGGTAACGGCTCACGGCGTCCCTAAAACGTCCTTCTTTGTAGCAGTGGTTCCCTTCCTCCTTAAAAGTGCGAGCCTGTTGCAGCCGTTGCTCAGGGATTGCATGGGAAGGAACCTGACCGTCGGAGGAGAGAAAGAGAATTGCAATAAAATACAGCCCTCGACTTACGGCGGTCCATTAAGTGACGTGATTGCAAAGCGTGACTTTTAGGACCGTTTTCCACCCTTACAACCGTTGCAGCCATGTGATCCAGAGATGCTTGGCAATGGACTCCTACTTACAACGGTCGCAGTGTCCCATGGGTCGTGGGATCCCCTTTTTGTGACCTTCTCATCAGCCTAATCAATTGAAGAAAGCAGATTGAGTTGGAACAGCTGCCAGCCTGGGAGGAGATTTATTAAACATCTCTGCCTGTTATTAAAACACCTGGTTATTGGGAAGGGCTGGATGAATGGATAAAAATACCAAATCCGATTCTAACTATCTAGCTGACTCAGTGCAATAGGATACCATGGGGATTGACAAAATCCCCCTGCATCAATTGCAAAAGGCACCTTGGCTTGCAACAGCTGCCGTCCTGCCACCAGCCTTTAAGAAATATAAATATTAAACACCGGCTTCTCTCACAAATCTTTGGGAAGGGCTCCACAGGTGGCCGAATGTGCAAACTCCAGCCAAACATCTGGCTGACTGTGCAACCCCCCGTAATAATAATAATACAAAATTTTGGATGACATGGTTCGATCTTCCCATTGCATTGAGGGTGTGCAAATGCAAGCCGCCTAATGCAACTTTTTTGTATTGTTTTCCCTGTTTGCATGTACATTGAAAGCTTCTGCACTAAATTCCTCGTCTGTCTAATCAAATTTGGCCAAATAAAGCTACTATATTCTGTTCTATATACAGTACTATTCTATTGTACTGTCTATACTATTCTATTTTTTATATGTTTTGCTGCAAATGGCAAACTTGCAAATTTGCAAGAAAGCAAGCCACCCCCAACCCGTTTGGCCCCACATTTTTAATCAGGGCTCTTCCCTGGCAGGAATGCAAGTAAAGGGAGGAAGGGACCCCCTCTCTGTGCCCCTTTCCCGGGGTTGCCTGCACCATGGGGAGGGTACCTTCGCCGACGCCATGCGAGGCCTACGAAGACCATCGGCTCCTGCCAACCGACCATGCAAACCAGGCTGCGGCGGCTGCTCTCCAGGTTCTGCCACGCCCCCTTCGGGACCGGAAGCCGAGTGGCCGGCGGAAAAAAACTACCAAAATGGAAGGCGGAGGTTGCCATGTGACCCGCTGAACCGCCAGCTGATGGGTTGGAGTTTTAAAATTGTGGGGTTTTCTTTTTAGGGGCAAAAACCTCTCGTTTTGCAGGTTTGGGCAGGCTGTGGGGAAGCCTTGGTGTGTAAACTGGGACGTTATTAACCCGTAGGATAGAAATGGCGGTAGGGTTACTTATCCTTTTATTATCTCTTATTTCCCCCTTCTCCTGGTTGCATACTTTTTGTATTGTTATTGTTGTTATTGTTTTCTCTGTTTGCATGTACTTTGAAAGGTTCTGCACTAAATTCCTTGTCTGTCTAATCAAATTTGGCCAAATAAAGTTACTATATTTTGCTCTGTTCTATATACAGTACTATTCTATTGTACTGTATATACTGTTCTATTCCATTCTATTTTCTATACTATATTCTAATCTATTCTATATTCTATTCTATTTTCTACACTCTACATTCTATACCAGAGGTCTCCAAACTTGGCCACTTTAAGACTTGTGGATTTCAACTCCCAGAATTCTCCAGCCAGCTATTCTGGGGGAATTCTGGGAGTTGAAGTCTACAAGTTTTAAAGTGGCCAAGTTTGGAGACCCCTGTTCTATACTATATTCTACCTGTATTCTACTTCTATTCTATATTCTATTCCTATTCCATTCCATTCCATTCCAATCCAATCCAATCTAACCTAATCATATATGTATGTATTTTCCCACGTCATTATAGTTGTGCTTTTAAAGTTGCAGCAATGTTTCGGCAGAATCTCATCTGCCATCATCAGGCTTCTGTATTGTGTTTGTCTGTGTGTGTGTGTGTGTGTGTGTGTGTGTGTGTATTCTACATTATGATCAATACTGTATATATTCTATAATCTATTATATTTTCTATTCTACTTTACTTTAGACCGTATCTAATTATTTTCAACTTTTAAATCTATTTAATGCACAACTTTGGGGTACCCATCACGGGGGCATAGATGGAGCAGGGATTTTTTGCTCCTTTTTCAGGTCCATTGTACATTTCTGGAAAAGGAGTATAGATGCATCTAGAAGCAAAATCAGATCTGGATCAGGCAATGCAGTTATTCCTGATTTTCCAGCACCTGGGAGAGCAGCATGATTTTAAGTGCTTTTCAGAGATATCACATTTTATAGAATAACCAGTTGGGGTATTAGAGCCATGAATTAAGAGAAAAGATTTTGGGGGTTTCTTCATAAAACATAGAGTGGACCTGAAGTCCTATGTTCTTTGCTGTACTATGATTCCAATGTCACGATACTGAATTATACAAGCAAGAAGTTCTAGAAGAAAATTAAAAAGGAGAAAATCCTTGGGATGAATGTTGATGCAATTAACAAAGAAGAAAGTCCATTCATAGTTATTTAGGATAGAAAATTCCAAAATATTACATTTTAGGGAGACCCTAAATAAATCAAAACTTCCCTGAAAAGATAGCCAAAAGATATATACTAGTTTTTCTTAGTGTCTGACCAAAATATAGATGCTAACAACAAGAATATAGCAATCAAAATAGCTGTTGAGATGGTAGCATATATTTATTTAAATTTACATTATCATATTATGCTTCGGATAAACACATGTCCATCATTTGACAACAAAATAAAATAAAAATATAAAACATTTAAAAACCTCCAAGTGCAGTTTATGGACTGCTAGATCTTTTTCTGCTGTCAGTTTTCTAGGTTTCTATGCTTCTATTCAGTGGCTTGCAATATAGTAAAACAGGATAGAAAAACAATTACATTTAAAACAATATATAGGTGTTTGATGCAGTGGTATCAGATATACATAAAGAGGACAGGTTATATACATTTGTCAAAGAAATGAGTGAGAACAAGAATAGCTCTCATAGCTATATTTGCCTGCATAAAACTGCAGAGATTTTTTTTAAAAAGCTTCACAAATAGCCAGTGAAATTGGAAATCAAATCCAACTTTCTATCTGTCCAGCCTTTGGAAAGTCAAGGTTCCCTTCCCAAAGATTTAATTATAGTAAGTTTCTTGAGATAAAAGAGGATAAATGAGATTTTAGTTTCCTTAAATTGCATTTTTTGTTTTAGCCAACTTGGAGAATATATATGTAAAGAGGTGCATGATGTATATTAACGTTTAATATATAAAAAAATGAATGATGTGCATGAAACGTGCAATTCTTCTTATTTAAGGGTTTAAATAAAGAATTGTCCAAGCAGAGGGTTTTCTTTTTGGTAAAGATGGCTAAGCAGGTAACAATGATGCTGCTTCGTTTCTTTCCCCCATGCATAGAAGGGTTTGAAAAGGGTTTGATTTGAAAGCTGCACTTGCCCAAGAAAAAAATAAAAATTCTCATTTTAGTATTTGTCTTTTGCTGAGATATTATTTTCTGAGGTGGGAGGGCGTGGAAGATGGCGGCACCTCCAATTGAAAAAAAAAGAGAAACAGTTTCATCCAATCAAGGCAGAGACTGGTTGGACATTTTTTTAAAAAATCAAACCAGGAGACCCAACATCTTCTCTTTTCTCCAATTGGCGGAGCCGCAGCCAATCAGAAACCTCGGCCTCGTTCTTTTCCTCCAGTTGCCTTACGCTCGTTCGAATCGACACGACGCAGAGCCCGCGCGCGCCCAAAGCCCGCGCGCGCATGCTCAGGAGCTTTTTAAAAAGCCATGAGCCAAACCTCTCCTTTCAAAAAAAACAACACAACGTGAGGAAAAGACATTCCCGCTTCAGTCGCCTTCCAAGGAGACGATATTCTTATTTATTATATTAGCGGCAGGGAGGAAGGAGAAAGGGAAAGCAAAAAGAAACGGCCTCTTCCGTTTTAAACTCAAACGTGAAAGAAAAGGATTTAAAAAAAAAAAAACAAAAAAAAAACGGGGGTTCCCGCGCATGCGCGGATTAGACCAGAGAGGCGCGCGCGCCTGCGCGGGCTCCCTTTTCTTCCTCGGCCGGCCTTTCCTGTCTCTCAATTCGCTCGCTCGCTTTCCCCCCCGCCCGTCCGCGCTTGCGCACCCGCCTCCGACGGTCTCTCTCACGCGCGCCAGGGAGGAGGGGGGGGAAAAAGAGCCGCACACTCGCGCAGGCGCAGTCGGCCCCCCTTAATCTCCGCTCCGCAAAGGGTGTAGCCGCCGGGCGGCGCGGTCCTTTGCCTGGCGCGCGGCGGGGCTGCCCGCGCAGGCGCGTTGGCGTCGGAGCGCGCCTCCCTCCCCTCCCTCCCTCATCCGCGGAGCGCGCGCGCCATGGACGTGAAGCGGCTGAAGGTGACGGAGCTGCGGGCCGAGCTCGGGCGGCGGGGCCTGGATTCGCGAGGCCTCAAACTCGACCTGGTCCAGCGGCTCCAAGAGGCCCTCGACGCCGAGATGCTGGCCGCCGGGCCTGAAGAAGCCGGCGCCGAGTCGGGGGCGGCCGGGCAAAGCCTCACTCGGGCCCGCCTGGGCGTTGAGGGGGACGGCGACGACGACGACGAGGAGGAGGAGGAGGAAGAGGAAGAGGAGGAAGAAGAGGAGGACGAAGAGGAGGAGGAGGAAGACGAGGAGGCGCTGCTGGCCGACGAGGAGGAGCAGCCCCCGGAGAAGCCTGAGGCGTCGGCGTCCGCGGCGACGACGACGACGGCAGCGGCAGCAGCGGCGTCGGCCGGCGGCGAGCAGGCCCAAACCGAGCCCGCGGAAGGCCCCGCGCAGCCCGGAGGGGTCAACGGCGCCCAGCGGGCCGCGGAAGCCGGCGAGGAGGCCTCGGCAGCGGCGGCGGAGGAGGCAGCGGGGTCTTCGGTGGGCGGTGAGGCCGAGCAGGGCGGCGACCAGGAAGGTAAGGATGGCTGGGTCTCTTTCCCTCCGTCTTTCTTTCTTTCTTTCTTTCTTTCTTTCTTTCTTTCTTTCTTTCT